ATTATTAATAACAACTGTCATTTAACATTACCACTAAAAAAAATTTTTACAAAAATCTTCCTGACCCAGTCCGGATCCGAACCCATGACCCCAGCAGCACCACCCACCTCATAGACTATCGCCTAACCCACTGCGCCATCCATACACTACCTCACACACCTTAACTAAAGTAGTTCAATTTTTGTCCAAATTACTGTCAACCCTCGAACTCAACCCAAAACCCTCCGTAGCTCAACCTGAAATCACTCACTCCTACCCTTTGAAGTCGACCTGAAACTGCCAAAAAATTCCAAAATTCCAAAAAAAAAATCCGCGGAACTTACCCTGGAATTACCCTGATTTGACAAATTGACAATTGTGTGACAGCTGTGGTCAAAAACCAGTGTCCAAAAGCTGTCAATTGTGGAGTGTTTTGGCCATTCCGTGACAATAAACTCGTTCTTGCGCGTGAACCCATCCACCTCGACAGCGTTGATATAGGTGTAGTCTTTATCCTTGCTCTCGCCGTGCAGTGTCTGCAGGTAGGGTCGGGCGTGATCCGCTGCAAAATCACTTGTCACTTGTCTGACAAAATGACAAAATATGACAAAATGGAAATATTGTCTGACAAAATAAAAAAACTCACGCGGCACCACCATAACATCCCTATTCTTCCCCCTGTTCTCGAGTCGATGCCCTCCCGCACAATCGCCTATCCTCAACGTTGGCGTCAACATCATCAGCAACTGAAATTACCAATTTCATTACGTTACCAAATAAAAACCTCAATACCAATTGACCCCTGACCTATGACCTCTGACCCCGTGACCTTTGACCCCTCACCTTATTCTCGTACGCATCCTGCGCCTCCATCAGCTGTCGATCCCGCTTCGCCTTGTACATACTACTCCGCTCTTTCAACTGCCACATCGCTATCGGTTCAACGTTACACAGCACTGCCTTAATTTCACATACATGATACTAAGTAATCAAATAAGTAAACAAGTAAACAAAAAAGTAAACAAGTAAACAAATAAGTAAACAAGTAAACAAACAACAAACACAACAACCAAACAACACAACAAACCTCAGCCAAGCAATCGTAAATGAACTGATACTGATCGACACTGTCCACCAGATGCGGTCTCGAATTGACCATCGTCTTCGCGTACTCGAACACGTCTATCTGACCCGTCTTCTTCATCAACTCCAAATTGGCATCCAACGACAGAAACGCCCCGCTCCGACCTCCTCCATTACTGCAATTTCACTTGACTTGACCTCTGACCTGACCTTTGACCTCTCAACTCTGTACCCTAACCTCTGACCTCACCATCCCCCCACCTATTATCATAACCCAACATTAACCATTGCATGACTCACTCAAATTCAGCAATCCCTTTCCTAACCAATAATAACGATAATCAATTAACACCTAACACCTAAGTACCACACCATTGCACTATATTAACAATAATAATTAATAATAACAATAATAAATAATAATAAATAATAAATAAAAACCCAAAGCATACTAAAAATAAAAACAAAGTACTCTATTGCAGCTCAAAATCCGGTTCTACGAATCAACCAACTTGAATTCAACCACAACAATATTATTATTATTATTCCCAGTGCTCATTTCAAGTTTATCACCGAATTGAT